TTCTGTCTTTAAGCAAATTCTGCGATGGTTCCCAAGTTCCAAGTTGCCACTTCATGCTTCTCATGCAGCGCTCCCGATTTAAATTCATCAAAATTTAAGCCATTACAGTGGAGGCCGGTAAATTACTTATTTAACTTTCCAAATTATAGCTTCAAAATTCATTAAGAGGCAAATAAAAATTCCACCGTCTCTGTCAGCAAGCTGTCACTACTTATCACACTAACGTCTTCATGAAGATTCTATCCTGACCAGAAAGACGAGCGGGCATTGCCTGGGAATCTTCTAACTATAAGATGCTCATTCTCCCCCATCAATTTTCCCTCTGCTTCTACTCTCTTATTATCCTTTCTATCTCTCTCCCTTTCTCTCTCTTAGGCCTGAAAGGGTAATTTACTTCCATGATTTCCTCATTTAACGACGTTTACTCAACTGCATACTTCTGTAAAGCCGAGCTTGAGATGAACTTGAAGAGGAGGGAAATAATGTTCTTTTCAAGTTCTGTCCATAGTGTGAGACGATCTGGTGAGGACGGCTGTCGTGTAAGGATATGCAGATTTGTTGGTTCAGCAAAGTAGAAGACACTAGGACGCAGACCGTGTTGACGTTTTACTAACTACGGCGAAGAGAACCTCGGGAAAAAATACTTTGCAAACTCGTCCCGAAGACGGGAGAGACAGGGGAGGAACGCGATGACATCCCTACGTAGTTGCCGCTACACAGAACGTCTTCCGGATTCTTTCTGTACCAAAGGAACCCGGTCGATTGAAAAATTCCGTTTCACTTCTGGTTCTGCAGTGTGGCAGTGAAACTTCCTGCGACTTCCTGGCCAAAATATCACTCCGCTGTTTCTGTGCGACAAAATTTTACTTTTAATTTCTAAGTCTCGTAATAGGAGACATCAATTCGTTCACAATAACGGCGAAGTCTGCAGAGTGCTTCCGATGTTGGCTGCTCGGTTTTTGATTTCAATTAATATTTTTATCTGCATGAATGTAATGGCTTCAGAGAGTACAAAATGTATTTAGACATTTTCTCTTATCCCCTATTTACATTCAACGAAAGTGTGGAACGCAGTCAGACTCTCCATGTGAAAGGCTGAAAATACGTCACTATTTTAATTCAGTGAAGCTTACGAACAAATTAGTCTACGGAAACAGGCCTTCAGGATTACGGAAGGTAATCGTTCTAGATGTAACGAAAACACAGAATTTCCGACACCACAAACGTCTAACAAATTAGAATTTGATGTTCTAATGACGGCGAGTATGAGGATTTCTGTCTTCTGGGTTGTTGCGCCGTGTAGTCTGGTATACGTTTACCGACGTTTCAGAAGACCTTGCTGCCTTCACCATCAGGGGATAAAATAACCACTACAATTAAAAATTTCCTAAGATTCTCAAAATAAATGTGATTCCTTTTATACGCGGCATTAAATCACTCAACGTGAAATACTGCTGTCTTTTTTATTTCGGTTGCGGGTTGAACTATATCAAACGTTATTCAGACGAGTATCGGTTTGTAAACGTTATAACCTCAAACAGGCGTTTGCCTATTGAAAGAATGTTTAATAATGACGAATGAAACAAGGATTAGTAAAATTTTCATCTGCCGCCATCCGCTAACATACGTTAACACACAGATGTACCGTTAAGCAATATAATCATGTTCGATACAGCGCCACTTCAAATGTTAAAAAAAACATGTCAAAAAAATTAAAATGGCACTCCTGCTTCGTATTCAAAACCTTTCTTGTGCAAATCCCGGCCCAGACTATACTAACCTCGAGTTATCGGAATTTTTCTCAGTCACCTCAGTCCAATGCTAGTCAGAGGCCTTAAATTGTTCCACGGCCGCTTCCTTCCACGTCGTTTTCAGTTCCGTAATCATTAAGTTCTATAATCTGAGCTACTGACAGCGTCACTCAACAAACGTTTTAAAAAAGAGTATCGGTAGAGTCAATGAAATTGCATGGAATGTTTGATTCGAGCACTCGAAGTGCTTCTGAATTTCTAATGGCGTATTCTAAGGCAAACTGAAAATCAAAGTCGACAGAGTAGTTTCTTGTTCAAACTGTTCTGAACAGAAAATCAATTAGACTCCATCACATTTAAAAATGCCTTTTCAACCAATTCTTATTTTTTCTCAAAACATTATAAATTTCAGTG